GCAGCCCCCCATTTGCAAACACAATGCTCGCATAGTTGCTGTCAAAAAAAACTCATATGCTGGCAAGCAAGTTTGCACAAGCGGGGGGTTGGTGGGGCGCAGCCCCCCCGAGTTTTTGGATTGCACGGGGGCTTCGTATTCGGGTGATGCGATGAGACCCTGACAGAACTGCGCTGCTACATCTCGATCCAAGCTCAGCCCTTTGCCCAACGCCTCATCAATGGCAAGCCGGATCAGCCTGAAAATCTCGGGGGCTCAATGGGCCAAAGTTGTGCACAACCGGCAGTCCTATGCCAATGAGGACAATCACAGAATACTCATAGAACGGTCCAGAAACGGCTGGCCAGGACTGCCTGTAGCATTAGTAAGCCACTTGCTTCGAAGAAGTCGAAGAAGGAATCTCCAGGTTCGACTGAGCGTCAGTTACTCTGTCACATCTGGGCTAAGACAGCAAGAGTGATCCAAGTAGGTCGCCGACACGATGGTCACGTTCATCGGGATAGAACCTGAAGCGCTGCAAGCTTACTGGGTCTAGAAGCATGGTCACATCCCACCTGCAGTGCTCCTGTAATTCCTGCAGCTCTGTGAGTGCAGTATCGCCTGTGACAGGACACTGCGTGGAGTCAGGAAGGCATTGCAGTTGCAGAGTTAGTTCAGCCCCGCACTCCACAAAATGTCGATGCATGGCTGCGGTTTTGGTAGCCAGTCTGCAAAATGGATCGCCTGCATCATTTGTTGTCTTGATGGACTAGGCCGCTGCATCTCTGTCCTAAGCTCAGTCCGAACTCTTGTCATCAGGCAGATATTCCAGATGTGCTCGGACTGATTCATGCCGAAGTCACTGGCAAGTCAAAGCTGCTAGAGCTGTCCCAGCAGAGTTGCAAATTGAATTTCCGCGCTCTCGCGAATTATGATGCCACGTGTGAAAATAATGTACAAAAAGCAACTAAATGTCTCTCAAAGTGTCTGCTGGCTGGCTATAGACAGTGAAACTTACGCAGCAAATCTGGAGGGCTCACTCTAAACTCGCGAGCTGCTCTCCGCCGCGTCTGTACTGGGCAGACGGTTAGCAAACGATCAAACTTGCAACACTCTGACTTGATGAGCCATGCCGATGGCGACATGATCCGGTTGAGCTGTTGCCCACTGTGTTTGATAGACTTCGTTGTCGCAGTCATATGCCAGCAATGGCGAATCAAGTTTTGCCGGAAGCGCTTCTGCAACATCCCAGACTATTGCATAGCCATCGTCTGTGCCACAAAGAAGATGGTTGCGAGAGTGCGGGGCCCACGAAATCGAGTTTACACAAGCGTCATGATGACAGAGAGCCGCCAGTGCAACGGACGGTCTGCGTATATCAATTAGGTTCACACCCGGAGCGTCCATTGCAATTGTTGCAATGTAGTTCGTATTGATCTTATTCCACGCAAGCCTCAGGAGTGGTGATGGCGGGGATGCTTCGTAGATAATCGTTGAATGATCCAGGTTTCTTTGGTCGAAAAGGCGCAGAGATCCATCTGCTCCAACCGAGGCAAACAGGCTGTCAACCTGAGAAAACGCTATGTCATAGACTGCCTTGTCGTGAGCTATGAGCTGCGTCTCAATTTTCATCTTGTCCAAATTCCAGATGGTGCACGTTGTATCGACAGACGACGCACCTAACTTGTGATGACTGACGGTACTCCAGTCGAAAGATGTCAATGGGGGCAAATTCGTGGGTTGCTTCTGTGCTCGTGTGTTCGCCAGCTTTGCAACGCACTTCACTTGGCCATCTTCGAACTTCCACAGGTTTAAAGTTGTTGTAGACGACGCAAGCAAATCAGCCTTGCTGGTTCCTGCAGCCTCGGGTCGCCACAATAATTTGGTTGGTGGAAACGTGTGCTCAGCCTCGCCAACACATTCGAGGCGCTTCGTCTCCTCATTCATTTCTACGATCTGGATATGGTTCATTTCCTTCTCAATACAGCTTCCCACTGCCAAGCGGAAGGCATTTTCGGGTCGCGCGGACCAAGCCAAGGCATAAGCTGGCCACTTCGTCTCATAGTCGAGTCGACTAGTACCGTCCATGCTTGAGTTTGAGCTGCGGGTCCAGCCAAGTTTGCAAGTCACACTCATTTAACGTCACGTGAATGACTCCAAGCATGTGTCCCCTAAACCACAATATGATTAACAAGCTTTGGCGGCACCGCATGTGCAACCAGTGCATTCCCTCTGCTTCTGTTTGACATGCAGGGCGCACCTGCGTCTCCACTTGTGCCATGGATTGCAAGTCGTGGCCAGGGCCGAACGATTCGACGGGATGGTACGGCTTGATGTCCAGCCTTAGTTCGCAGAGGACGTACGCTCAACAATGAATGGCCGACGATGCAGACGAGGTACAGTTCACAACAATGATCTGAGTGGCGAGCACTGCTGATCCGTCGACCACATCAACACCACTGATGTAGATTGTGCTATTGACCTTTGTCACGGCAGCAGACGTCCTCCAGCCGCTTTTACTTGGAGACCATCAGGCCTGGTCAATAGAGTCCAACCGACACAGGGTCAGTCCAACGGGATTTGGACCTCGAAAACCGTCTTGGGCGAAGCGATAGCAACGTTTTGTGTGGCTTCGGGCCGAGCGGTGTGGAGATCGGGTTGCAAAGACCTGAAGACCACTTGCAGGCCTTTGCATCTGCTACAGTTTCCGTTGCCAAGGCGGAAAGATCTTTGGGGGCCGAGCACCTCGCTTTGCTCGGCGACCATCGTCCCCTGCCGAATGCACACGGCCGACGACAAACGCCAGTAACATTTTCTGGCTGTGGTTGGGCACTCTGTTGTCAGTGGACCAGTCACGAGTCGGCAACAGCGGTCTGAAAATTGATGCCGGTCTTCTGTCTCCGGAAATGTCTGATTGCACACAGCCACAGCAGAGTCGTCTGCTGTTGCAGACATTTCACCGGACCCATCAAGGAACCGGCACGCAAACCACAGAGTTCGACAAGGCTTGGCCTGCCAACCATGGTGGTCGGACAGTTGGCCTGCGCATGTGATGGCAAACGAAACTCGAGGCACGAATGGTGACAGCTACTTTTTCTGCGAAATTTCCGCGAAGACATCTCTGCTGTCCGTTTCGTTCGGAATGGCATCTGTACACATATCGGGCCTCTGCATCCAGCCTGCACCTCACCCTATTCTATAGAGCACGTCTTCTGCTTCTCGTGCTTGAACCACAGAAACTCGTTGTCCAGGAATTTTAACAGTACCCACAGGCGGAGGAGTCAGCATGGTTCCATCCAAAGCCATGGCAGCTTCAACAGCCGCAGATGAATCTAGCTGCACTGCAACAATGGAGTCAGATATCCGGAACGAGAACGGCGGGCTGAAGCCGGCTCTGACAAACAACGCGTTCACATCGGACAAGCTCGAGGTTTTCGGAACGTTCCGAATATGCACCAAATACTGTTGCTCTTCTGCCACGTCAGAATCATGACCGTCGTCCTCATCAGCATCGTTCGCCATGGATGCACAGAATGTCTTCTTTCGGTCCTTGCCTAGTGCAAGCAGCTTTGGTAAATTACGATGTATGCGGAGCTCGATTTGCGTGACATGTCTGCACCTTTGAGTGGCGGAGCCGAGCCGAAATCCCAAAGCGTTTCTGTAGTACGCGGCACGCGATGGAGACACAACCAGTCTGAGGAACCGGCTTCAAGAACGAGCAAGCAGGGTCAAAAGACGTTTTGCCTCAAAGTGAGGCTGTATGCCCTGGGTTGTCCAAAAAGAACTGCCGAGTAGCGGTCTGTGCTTGTTCTGGTCAAAGAGGAAAATGACCCAAACATGCGAAAACGCCTATCCAAACAGCATCTCTCTCCTTCGAACAAACGGGCAGAAAGAGCCTCCAAACCCTCAAGGTATTGTCCACCTCCCCCTGAAGTTGTCAACCAGTCTGCCAGCCTGCAACACGTTCAAAGACGCACTGGTTCTCTTCGCATGCTGCTCGGCAAAACACAAACGAGTTAGGCAGTGGCTTGATTTGCCCACGAGATGATGGCGCAGCAAGACCCTGTCACAGTCTTATCCGAGACCACCCAGACCCCAGCAAAAGATGCGAACGTTTGGATGCACACTTGCTTGCATGAAACAGGATGCCAACCAAAAGGAAGAGAGGACCGGGTGAGGAATCGTCAAGGACAAGCGAGACACAAAAAAAACATTCAACAAATTGGGGATTATCAAAACACATTCATGAAGTGCACTCTGTTTCTTTGGCCTTTCCATGCATTGGTCCATAGTGCACTGGTAGCCTCGGCACCCGAGGCCCGTCACTGCTGTACACAGTTTCGGCTGGCCAGCTACACCTGGTTCAGGGGTAACCCTAACTTATGGACATCCCCGAATACCACAACCTAGGCTGGGCAGCCACCAGCTGTGATCAGATACTCACGGATCCCACTTATCGGGAACTCGAGGGTAAACTCATCTCTGAATTCAAGAAATGAGGGAGCTCCAGCGAGCTGGTGATCGAGCTCTCGTAGTTGGATCCGGTTTGTCTCCGTCCCCTGCATCACCTTGACTTGGCGGAAAGAAAATTGGGGTGCGCCAAATCGAGGAGCCGAAGATGCATCGGAGTCAGACTCCATTGCAGGACCGGGAAAGGCACGACTGCGGCCTGCTCGCGGTAGTTGCCGGTCGCACCTCGGGGAAGGAGCTCCGTCTCGGTGTACTCGACCTCCTGTGATCGGACCATGATGCTGTCGAGGGCCCCGTCGGCTGTCTCGATGCAAAGCGATGTGGCGAATATCCCCTTGGAGATCCGCCTTGAACAAGTGCTTGTTCATTGTGTCGTCATTCTTCTTCTTCGGCACGAACCCGGGCCGCGTCATCGGAGACATCCCACGATGAATGTTCGTAGTACATCGTGAAGTTGGTGCCCGAATCGCCATTTACGAATGTCTCGGCGACGGAAATCAGCCATCGCATTGAAGATGTACTCGGCGGCCTCAGAACGAGAGACTTGCCGAATCCTACCAGATCAGCGGCTTCGTAGGCGAACGGAACACGGTCACCTCGCAGTTGCCATTGTAATCTGTCCGCAGACCTCATCACATCATCGAAGGTAGGTCCATGCTGGTTCCAGCAATTTTTCGGATATCGACAGATACCCCGGAACCACTTATGGTAGATGCAGTCGGGGACAATCCACTTGCCGCTCAGGACGTCGGGGTGAAGGTATCGGCAATTTGTTCAGCTGTTGCAATTCTTCCTGTCGATGTACGGGGCAAACCTGCCATCGAGTGTCTTTCAGGCAGATGACTTCGGTAGAACTCACCTCCTCGGGAAAACCTCAAAACATGCTGGGCTGTACTTCGGTGTTGTCAGGAAAGGCCTCGACACGTCCTTCAGAATTTTGATTCGAAGCCTATACTAAAAAGGCAACGCAATGCAAAAAGTTTCGAAGTGATCGGCTCATGCAAATCCACGGAGTCGATCGGTGATTGAAGAAAGCGCTGAGTGGCACTGAGTTGTCATTTCGCAAACAAGTGTGCTACACTGCAACTCCCTCATTCTTCTTGAAACTACGTACGCTTAGTTCTGACTTCTTCTTTGCCTTACTGGTACTTGAAACTTGTATTTTTTCCCACTCCACGGACTTCTTGCCCAGTGTGTCTTGCTGGTAGCATTCTTGGGTCACCTAGGATGGTAGCGTGGTGGGGGTGACGGGGCTGGTCAGTCGGGGAAGGAGGCGGGCTGGGGATGGTAGCAAGAGAGGTCAGAGCGTGATCAGAAGGGATCAGCAGCAAGGGAAAGGGCGCATGGGCCCCCAAAAAAGCTCTGGTTTTGCCACCTTCTGAGACAAGCTGTGCAAACGGCACCTGCCGAGGACAGCCGAACGGGGCTGGGAAGCATGAGCGGAAGGTGCCTGCAGACTGGACCGACCACATGAAAATTGCGAGCACAATCCCATGAAGCTACGCAGGCCCTCCACCGAGAGCCTATCCGGGCCAGCAGGAAGGTCTCTGGGGAGGCCTCGCAACACTCGGCAAGAAGGCATTGTAGAACAAGCTTGCGCACTTGCTTCAAATGACTTGTATTGTGCATTCACACAATTCAGTCTTGTTTGCAATGTCTTGTTGTACTGGCAATGACGAAAAGAGCAGCTTCAGAATGCATGGTTTTTAAGTAAGCCTCTACGCAATGGCTCAATTGGCTTAATGGCATGTCTGCAGCCGGATTTTGCGTATCCTGGGTGCGCCAAGAACATTCTCTCGCAAAGGGAAAGGCACTGTCTTTCAGACTGAGGATGCATCCAGGCGCATCTTGGTTTTGAGTATGCTTCACTGTCGTTGGACAATGTCGCCTGGTTATCTGAATGCACCGATCGCCTTCACATGTCAGTGACTCTGGAGGAAGGCAAAGAACCCGTAAGCAGAGCTACAATTGTCCCCTGGGGAAAAACTGCTGGCAACTCAACGCGATGCAAGCACTCGTTTGACGTCGTCGGCCTGCCCTGTCTCCCCCGTATCACATCTGCGTGTCGTTTGCACAACATCTCGCAACTTGTCAATACAGACTGCCCTGCCATCGATGCCTCGGCATTTTCCTCGCCGGTCTGCATAGGAAAGAGCTGGCCGTATAGAAAGCTGCATTGCTGGAGCCCAAATGCACGACAACAAACTGAATTTGGCAAACAAGGCAGTACCACAAGGCCAGGGGAAGCAGGTGGAGGTGCAACTGCTACGGTCTTCTGTGCTAAACTGCGCCGTCGGAGTCGAGCGAGTCGGAGAGGCATGTGGCTGGCCTCTGTGTGCGAGACATGTGTGAGACACAAGTCTAAGTACTGCATGGCCATGGGGCCGAAGGAAACATGCAGTCGGGTCACGATTTGGCCAGCCGTCTCATGAAGTAAAGACAGACTGCCGCATCAGCCAGAGCTGCGCCACAAGCAGCGAAAGTGATGAGGTTCTTCGTGAATTCCTCCTCGTTCATCTCCGACGAGTCCTGTCATCATGCAGGCAGGGTGACTTCAGTACCTGACAGCAAGATGTAGCTAGTCTTCGCGCGCACCTCTGGGGATGCCATTGCGTTGCAATCGTTCAATCGCTGTTCCATGTGGACCTCCAGAATTTTGTGGTATGCCATCCCCTTGCAAAGAATCCGGTAACAGTGCAAGTCATTGAGCGTCCGCTGAAGCGACCTGCTTCCACGTGTCTCCGGCAACACCCTCAAGGAATCGAACCAAGTGAACGGCACCGTAGAAGTGGAGAGGCACCTCATCTCCGGAAAACCGGAGCTCTGTGCACTGTGACAGCAGGAAGGGGGCATTCCAAAGCGCCGAGAAACGAAGGTGACGTTCAGGAAGCTTGCGCATGCCAATAGTCCGGCCTCCTGGCATCGAGACACCAAAACAGAGGGACACGAAACCGGGACAGCCAAAAGTTTGCATGCTAGCACACCAAGACACTGGACAGCTCGCGGGCACACGCGATACTTGGGACTACTCTGGGACGGCAGAACTCAGCACGAACCTGCCACTGAACCCGCCCGTCGCAATGACCAAAGCTCTCTCTCCAACTGCACCAACTGTCCGACTTTATGCTCTGCGTAATACCGAACCCCAGCAGACGCCTGAGTTTCAACCATTCCGTACTCCACCACGCCGTGTAACTCCCGCAGTCTGTCGAAGCCCGTCATCGCAGATGCTAAGGTTTCACCAAGTCCTACATCAGTCCGTCAGACCTAAACACTGCGTAAGCCGCAAGCATTAACCCTGCGAAAACTGGATTCCAGGCCATATCCGGCTTAAACAATAATTGTATAACGGCATAACGTAAACAGTAGGGTTCAGGACCGACGGGTTCCATGAAGGTCTGGCCATGGCATGAAGCCTCATGCTACGAGTGTAAGTGGTTTCGGGGGATTGGTGGACCAGCGCTCGGTGCGCAAAGCTACTGTCCATCCAAAAATAGCATCTTCATGGATAGATAGACCGGTAAATACAAACATACATACATGGTAGGCACAATCCTATCTACCTACTCACCTACCTACCTACCTACCTACCTACCTATCTACCTACCTACCACCCACCCACCCACCCACCCACCCACCCACCCACCTACCTACCTACCTACCTACCTACCTATACCTAACTGCATGCATGCATACATACATACATACATACATACCTACCTACAATTACCTACAATTACCTACAATTACCTACAATTAGCTACAATTACCTACAACTACTTACAATTACCTACAACTACTTACAATTACCCACATACCCACCTACCTACATAGCTACATAGCTACATAGCTACATACCTACATATTTACATACTTACATACTTACATACCTACATACCTACATACCTACATACCTACATTTCCGGGATTTCCTTGCCATCAGAGGTCGACGCGGCCTAATTAGGCTGGCTGTGGCGCCCGTAGCGCTCTAAACGGCGCTGCATAGGGGCTCGCCCAAAAGGTCAAGGGGGCTCTTACTTCTGAGACATTTGAGACATTTCCGTCCAGAAAGTCTGTCCACAGCTCCCTGACGACACTGGGCACATGTTCAAAAGCTTTCTGAATCGCGGCTGAAAAGGTGCAACCGTCACTGAACTTCAAACTTTCAGCTTCCCATTGAAAGTCCAGGATTTCAAACGGCTGTCCCTGGGTCCCGCTGTTCTTCAAGCAATGAATGTGGAGTTTACCCCACAATTGTTGGCTCTCTGTCCCGGAGAATCGCTGGAACGTTACTGCCTCGCTGGCTTGTTCAGCTGTAGTGTCCTCAACAAGAACTGGCATCTCACGGAACTCATTGAAAGCCTCCAGGATGTTCGCATAGGATCCGGAACACCATGGATATGTCGGGTCATCCTCGAACAGGAGCCTCACCTCCGACTCAAGGTAGTCCACAACCTCTTTCTCTTCATTGCGGTAGAGCGGCATCGCAGTGAAAACATTGAACAAAATGTCCAAAACGTCCTGCACACCAAGCTCCGAAGTTGTCCTGAAGAGCTCCGAGCAGATATCAGCATGAGCCATGAGCTGAACATCATCCCACTGTCCCTCACGCCAAGGTAGTAGAGGGGCCTGCTGCTGGACAGGGGGTGCAAGGGTAAACTCTTCATCGCACTGCTTCCTCCATGCTCTGCTGCCAATGCCAGCTGGGACTGTAGCTGCCCCCAGCCCAAACTTGCGCAGCGTATTCACACAGCTCACATTGTCGCGCAAATGTATCGCCAATCTCGCCTGGCTCCAGTATTGACGTCCACAAGCACGGCAAAGTGATCCCGCCACAAATGCGCGGAATTGCGCCTTGCGACCATGGCATTTGAAGAAGTGTGCTCCAAGCCCTGCCTTCGTTTTGAAGGACTGTGCGCATTTTCGGCAGTACCAACTCGCCTCCACCCAATCTAGTTTCGGCATAAGCTGGCAGGCTTGCTTGTACATAGCCCAAAGTCCAATCTGTACCGTTCGGTCTTTGCATGTCTGATCATGGACTTTCTGCAGGGCTTTTCGAATCCTCCTCTTGAAACCTTGAGGGCTTTTTCTGATTAGGTGCCACCATTCAGGCCAAGCTGCTTCCTCGACCTGCGGCCATGATCCTCCACCCGCGGCAATGACTCGCAAATCCTCCCGAATCGCCGCGAACCATGAGCCATCAGCTTGCAAGGCTGCCCATAACAATCGAGGATAGGCTCGAACAAGGGAGCACAAAAGACTGAGCCTGGCCTTGACCGCCTCGAGCTCTAGGCACCAGCATCCTGTCATCAGATACACCAACGGGGGAGGGACCTTGAAGAAGTTCGGGGCCCCCATCTGGGGCCTCAAGAAATTCCTCAGCTGTCGTAGATATCCATGACAAAGCTTCTGCCACTCATCTCCAGTCGGGATCCACAGTCCAAGGTTGAAGTAGGTCGGGAGGATCGTAGCATGGAACAGGCCAGCACGGACGTCAAGGGGGATTGTACTGTTCTCGTACAAGAGACGTTTGCCGGCAACATAAGCACTCTGGGCCAGGGCTGTTCTTCGACGGCTTTCATCCTTCATGCTAGCAGTCGCATCGACAACCCCACCGAGGTGGGTATAGGTAGGGACAACAGCAACGGCCTTACCCAGCTCCCGAATTTCCAGGGCCTGCTTTCCCTTCTGGAAATGCCGGGCCTTAGCCTGCTGGGAGCCCTTTCCCTGCAGAACCAGGAGCAAGCTGGTCTTGCCTCTCTTCAGGTTCGGCTCGAGTCCGAAGGACTCACAGTGTGAGAGGACGAGGGCCGCGAACCTCTGGGCCTTCCGAATGAGCCTGTCTGGGTCAGGGTCAGACAGCGGCAAGGCAACATCATCCGCCCAGGTAGTGTCCCTAGCTTCACAACTGGTTCCTACTTCAGGATTTGCGAAGATCCCAGCTTCCTCATCAAGGCTGTGATAGCTGAGCAGCTCTTCACCCTCCGCAATCTCCATGATCCTGCAAAGAACTCTGGCAAACACATAGCTGAACAATGCATCAGCCCAGCTCTCGCCTGGCCTCGAACCAGCCAGAGTGGAACATAACTTGTCCCCAGAACTGTTCATGCTGATAAACCATGTGCGGTAGTGAAAATCGCCCACAGCCGAACAGATTGCAGAGCTGACTCCTGCATCGCGCATGGCCCCACCTTCTTTGATGAGCTGCATCAGGTCATGAGCCTCCTCCCCATCCAATCCAAATCGCTTCAGCACAAACGCCACTGTAGCATCACAACGGATGTCTCCAGTTGCCACCTCCCTGATCACACGACAGTAGGCAGCTCGCATATCCAGAAACATCGTTGCCATTGACCATCGCTTCCGGTGGCAGTGCCTAACATGACTGAGGATGTAGAGGGCTCCAAAAGTCACAGGGGCACCCTTCTTGGCACCATAGTGCAAATCGCGCAAGACCGACTGCAGCTGGCTCTGTGATTTGTTTCTCAGCACCCGGTGGAATGATTTTCCCAGGGCACTGCTCACAAACAGTGACCTGTGGCTGTTCGGGTCACTGAGCTTTCCACTTTGTTTCCAAGCCGAAAACAAAACCCCCCCTCTCCACTGGAGGGGTTGTTTGTAGGAGAGGAGGGACTTCAGGAACAACGGTTGCACCAGCTTCGCCATATAGCTCGGGACCGCTGCCAGCAACTCGGCGGGCAGATGGTCTAAGCCGGCAGCCTTGCCTCTGGGCAGACCTCTGAAGACCTCCTCAATATCCGTCAGACAGGGTAGTTCTTCGGCTGTCCAGGCTGCCCCTTCAGCCTTGTATGCCCCGTGGTCCTCCTCCTCCAGGAACTCCTGAACAGTCATAACCTTGCCACATTCTTGTTCTCCAAAATGTGCAAGCCAGGCTTCATCTCGTTCGGCCCGGGAGGTGGCAGCCGTGCCATCGGCCTTGAGAAGCAATGGAGGGGGCCGGACCACCGGTCTGGCTTTCCTCCCACCCTTTCTTCGCCTGCCGGAGAATCTGTGAGGGGGCTGTGGCGCCGCTCGTGACAAGGGCTCGCAAGTACTCGGCCTTGGCATGCCGAATACCCTGCTTGATCTTCATTGTAGTAACAGCAATTGCAGAGGCCGTGAGCTGGTAGAGTATGGAGTCCTTCGCTCCAATGGGTGGCGAACTGCCTTCCTCAGGCGAAGCCCAACGGTTGAAGGCTGCACCCAACGCCTTCTTCCAGAGGGAGACCCGATCCCTTGTTCGCCTTTTCAACCTCATCTTGCTGTCTCTTAGACTCCAGACCCAGTCAGGTATATAGGTAGCTCGCTGGCTGCCCCCTGTGATTGCAAAGTTCTCCTCCATGACGTTCACCAAGAAATCTTGCAATCGCTGACAGTGCTCATCCACATGCACATCCCAATCCGGTTGTTGGAAACTGCAGCAGGCCTCTGCAATAATCCTCCTGCCCTCGGGTGTGCACATCTTGTCCCTGTCAAACTTGGGCCTCTGAATTTTTCCACAACCAGCTTGGGTGCCAATCGCACCTTGTAGTCGAAGCTGGAGCAGGTAGTGGTCATCGCGAGGGTTTGCCAGATCAATTCGATCGTTGATCTCGCTTCTGGCACCAAATATCTGAGCTCGTCCTCCAACGCACAAGAAGTCAATCCTATGTTTGGTGCCGCTGGGGTGGCAGTATGTCTCGTGCGGTCCAACATGTGCCGTCTCAAAGGTAGACGGCAGCCAGCATCCCAGTCGCTCAAGCACTTTCACGGCTTGTGCTCCCGTCTGGTCCGGGTCTCCACATGCCACGCCACCTGTGACATCAGGAACATCGAGAGGGGGCCTTCCATTCAAGTCTAGACCTCCCAAAAGAAGACCAGCATCACGGTACGGCAGTAGTACTCGTTCCAGATCAACCAGGAAACGCTTGCTGTCAGCCTGCTTGCCGGTGTGAGGGCAATGGCCCGAGAACAGCACACAGTGAAAGTCCGCCAGCTTGATTGAGAGGACCAAGAGCCTCTCAAGATTGTGCACAACATGCACATCATCCTCATCCACTCTGCAGGGCTTTGCATCCCGGGTCAGCAGCCCAAGTTGGGCATTGATCCAGACTCCAATCCCCAATGAGAAAGGGCATCACTCGCAACCCTGAAGAAGCGCTTGGATCGGCATTGGCCTCCCCCTTCTTTGGTTTCCTGCACAAACACAATGTGGAGGCCTTCGTCCTCAAACTGCTGCTCCA